TTGATCGAACTGGGTAAACAAACTTCATTTTTTCTTACCTTATTTTATCATATTATCTGTGTACGGATTATTATTGTTGAAGACCATTTATCTTGGTTGCTATTGTTCTTTGCCTCACAAATGAATATTGAATTTTTTCGTAATTCACAACAAGTGGTGTGGTGAGTGTGGAGCAAAGAGATATTGTTGACAAGTGAGCACCATGGTTAGTAGATGGCAGATTGAGAAATTTTCTGGTAACAACGACTTCGGATTGTGAAAAATTAAGATGCAAGCAATTTTAATTCAAGAGAAGTGTATTGATGTTTTGAAGAATGAAGCATTGATGCCTGCAAGACTTACACATGTACAGAAGACCGAAATGGTGGATAAGGACATGAGTGTCATTATCTTGTGCCTCGGGGATAAAGTTCTAAGAGAAGTCGCCAGGGAGAAAAATGCGGTTTCTATGTGGGCAATACTTGAATCATCGTATATGACAAAGTCTTTGGCTCCCAGGTTGTATCTGAAACAACAATTCTATTCATTCAGAATGATAAAGAACAGATCCATAGTTGAGCAGCTCATAGAATTTCATAAGATTATTGATGATCTTGAGAATATTGAAGTGAAGATTGATGATGAGGATAAGGATTTTCTCCTGTAGAGTTCATTACTCAGATCCTTTGAGCACTTTATGGATGCCCTTCTTTATGGTAAGGAATGTACTATTACTTCGGATGAAGTCCAGACGGCGGTGAAATCCAAAGAATTTTTAAAGTCGAAAGATTTGAAGATTGAAGATAGTGGTGAAGACTTAAATGTGTCAAGAGCAGGAGGTGAGCATAAAGGAATGTCCAAATCAAAGAGGTCTGACAAGTCAAAGGTAAAATGTTTTAATTTTCATAAAATCAGTTACTTTAAAAGGGATTGTCCTGAAAGAAAGGTCAATGAAGATTCTGTTCAAGCTGTAGTTGCATTGGATGAGAAAAGTTATGAGGATGCCGAAGCACTAGTAGTATCGAGTTTGAAAACTAAAGATAGTTGGGTCATTGACTCAGGTTGCTCTTATCACATGTGTCCAAGAATAGAATACTTTGAAACTTTGAAGATGGTGCAAGGTGGAGTAGTTCCCATTGGTAATAATAAGGCATGCAAGGTTCACAGTATTGGTACAGTCAGATTTAAAATGTTTAATGATCGTGAACTTCTTATTCACAATGTGAGGTATGTTCCAGAACTCAAGCAAATTTTTTTATCTATAAGTATGTTTAATGATCTAGACTATTGTACTAGAGTTGAACATGGAGTGTTGAAGATTTTGTGTGATGAATTGATTATTACTAAAGGGTCTAAAATATGTGGTCTATATATTTTAGAAGGTTCAAATGTTACTATTCATTCATCGTTAACTAGTGGAGACTTTGATGACAAGGAAGAGCTATGAGATTTGAGTTTAAGGCGTTATAAATGCTTGAGAAAGTTTCAGAGGAGTACAATAAATTTTGCAGAAATCAAAGGATAAAAATGCATGTTACTGCGATTTGCTAATGAATTTTTTGGGAAGAGCTTAGGTTAAAACAACTTACTTGGTTGGTAGAGAATTTCTTCAAACGAAGAATAGTGAAAACCAAGGGAGAAACCTGGGAGAAACTATAACGGAGAAAACCAGTTTGAGGTGCAGTTTCCTACTATGGATGCTAGTAGTAGTGAGGGAACAGTTACAGAGATCTCTGATTATCATTTAACTCATGATAAGGTAAGGAGGGTTATTGTAGCATCTCAAAGGGACGGTTATGCTAGCCTTGGATATTATGTTTTTAATATGGCTAAAAACTGCAAAATAAAAGAAGAAAAACCTTCAGGGAGGCATTTGAAAACAAGTGGAGTCAATGGTGGTTGAAAAATCATACTTGTAGGCTTGTTAAATTATCTAGGCAGAAAAGGGTAATTGGGAACAAGTGGATACAAATTGCGAGATCAAGATTCAAGGGTTGCTTGAATTTGATCAAAGTTATTGATTAAAATTTCAACTTGGTAGAGAGCAACAATGTTGTTGATTGTTAAATTGGTATCAACACAGTTTAAAGTCAAGATGGAGATTGTTGTAGATGTGCCTTAAAACCTTTTTTGATGAAGAGAAAGAAAACATATTTTGGAAATTGTATTTACCGCAAAAATAGAAAGTTTTAGAAAGTCGGACGAAAATTCAAAAAAAAAAAATGGTTGGTGAATAGTATCGTCCGTACGATGAATAGTGATATTCGTACGGATGAATAGTAACGTCTGTACGGTGAGTAATATTGTCCGTATGGTGAATAATGTTTTTGAGTTTTTGAGCTTTTTCGATTCGGTCCATGGATCCATGTGATTTTGGATTTTGTTTGTTGGGTATTTGCTATTATAAATATGTATCTTATATGCTTGGTGTGTGACAATCTTAGAGTTTTCACAAAACAAGGTAGACCAAGGGCTTAAAGGTATAACATAGGGTTTCAGATATGCACAAAGAAAACCTTGGATTACACTTTGAGTTTGAGTGATTCATATATTGAGAGTTTGAGAGGTAGGAAAACACTTGGGTAGAAAATAGGGTTGTTCTTGGGCGCCTTCAGGGTTGTTCTTGGGAACATGAAGGTGAAGACTATTTTCTTGTAACTCATCTGTAATCTCTTGTAACAACTTTCTGAGTATAGTGAATTGGAGAGTTGTTCTCTCCCTTAGAGTAGATCGTTTGATCAAAGTGGATAAACAAACCTTCAGTTTTTTCTTTCCTTATTCTGTTATATTATCTAGGTAAGGATTATTATTGTTGAAGACCATTTATTTTGGTTGCTATTGTTCTTTACCTCACAAATTGATATTGAATTTTGTCGTAATTCACAACAAGATTCACAACATTTATAAATGTGGATAGTTAAGCATTTATAAGTGGGAGAACTCATACAACTATCATCTTAATGTTTTAGATGAATATGTGGTGTCTCTGTCACTTGTGTTGCTCTTGACCTAATGTTCAATGCTCCCTAGTGAAAAAAAACCCCAACAGATAGCAGGTCACTTTTTCACACAGTTAGGTTTGCCAACCGCAGAAAAACGTGGCATGGTCGTTAGTTCGAATTTCAATAAATTAATTTGGTATTTTTAAAATGGCGTGTTGGACTGACTTTTTCCACAGTTGAAAATTTCAACCGAGAGTATATATAATGCCTTAACTTTTTCTCACGATTAGAATTCCCAACTATATAATTTATTTTTAATTTAAAAATAAAAAAAGAAGACACCACTACTATGCTTCTACGAATTTTGGGTTGAAAGAAATTAATTTGAAGCGTAAGAATTGTTTTTTAATTAATATAATTAATTCATAAAAATATAGCCATTTTTTAACAAATAAGAAATTTCATCATCTATAAAAGATATTTAAACCCAAAGAATAATGGTGAATGATAATAAATTGAAAAGGAAGCAACACAATGTGTTGTTTACTTTTCAACTTTCATTTTGTTTAGCCTTACTTAAATTTTGTTTCTTAAGAGACAAATGTCAACGATGTCCTAGACAACCGGTTCGACAAGTTAAACCAGAAACAACACAATAGCAAGTACTAGATGATGAAGTAGAAAAACGGTAAATTACACGATAGTTGTTTACCCAATTCAATGAAATTCACTATAAGTAGTTTAGTACAATTAGACTTATAAGCAATAATAAACCATATGTACCTTAGAATCCACTTTAAAGCTTGTCAGCGCGCCTTCCAAGGATTGACCATATACCTACTTACAAGGCTCACTCTGTATGCTATATTTGGCCTCGTACAGACCATAACATACATCAAAGAACCTACTATACTAGCATATGGGAAGTTATTCATATAGGCTCTTTTGACTTCAGTACTAGGATTTTGAGTCGTACTCAGCTTGTACTAAGGATTAGTCGGTTTTATAACAGGCTTTGAATTTGACATACCAAACTTGTCGAGAACCTTCTTTAGGTATGTCTCTTGAGATAAACATAATCTCGATTGATTTTTATCTCTCCAAATGTCAATCCCAAGAATCTTGGAGGCATCTCCTAGATCCTTCATGTCGAACTCCTTATCGAGATCACCTTTCACCTTTATAACATCTTTGACATTGTTGTTTGATATGATGTTATCGTCCACATAAAGCAATAAGATAACAAGTGAACTTGTAGACCAAAATCTGAAATAAACACAGCGGTCGAGCTGACTCCTAGTTGAATCTCATATTCCATTGTTGATTAAAGTTTCAACTTCAAGACTTCAGCATCCCTATTCCGCAACCCATTATTATTTACTGTGATAACAAAAGCGCTATATATACAAATTGCTACCACGAACGCATAAAACATATCGAAATTAACTGTTATTGTGTAGGACAAGATTGAAGATCACATCTTCCATTTGATGCCAATTGATTCAGCCATCCAAGTAGCTGATTTATTCACAAAATTACTTCACTTTGGACCCTTTTCTAGTCTTGTTAGCAAAGTAGGATTATTAAATATCCATTTCTTAGTTTGAGAGAAATCATTAAAATAAATTAAGTATATATTATTTTATTATTTTTTATCCTTACCTTTAAGAACCTTTCCTCTTTTGTACAAACCAAGTATTCAGAAAATTATTTTTCATAATGAACCTTCCTTTTTCGAATTGTCTTTTGGTATTACTTTTGCAGGATGTTAATATCTCTTAAAGCCAGTGAATCCGACATGTTTAATATGAGACATATTAATATATATTTATTTATTTATGAATGTCCATGTTTAAGTTAACGTGGCTATATGTGTTTCACTGATTCTAAATTTTTTTATGATATTCCTACATACTGAGAAACTTTAATATGAATGAAGGCTACTTTATAAATAAACTTTTCATACAAATCGAAACAAATTTTATCCCACAATAATGATATGTACAAGCATGTATAAGTATATGTAGCAATTCAAACAATATTAAATTTATTCATCTTAGTTTACTATCCAGCTAAAGTTTACTCCCTAACAAACGAGTAAATTTCATATCGCACGTTACAACTTCCACCAACAACTCTTCCTCCTTTTTTTCCATCACAACAATTTGGAAGTTCACTAATTACGTCATCAAGACACTTCTTACAATCAACACTAGAAAGATCTCTAGTGCATTGAGCTTGTCCATAAACTCTCTCTGATTCTCCAATCTTCAACTCTCCATTCGCATACATTTTCTTATCCATATAAGCCTCATAAGCAAGTAGGCTCAATAAGTCCTTAGTCACGCTGTTGAATTTGATAGGATCATTAACACTTTGTACATTTAATAAAGAGAACTTGCTTGAATTATCAATTTTGCCAAAGAAATCAATGTCCGAGTACTTGAACATGCAATTATCGTACCATATAATGGCACCCTTATTGTATGGACAAAGATTTTGAATTTCTTTGGTAGCTTCTAAAACACAAGTTTTGCATTCTGAGGTTGAGACATCGCCACGACAAAGAGAGAGCCCATATGCTCGTTGGTTTTGGTATTGAGTCTGACCGACTGATCCAACACCAAAACCTGTTGAAGGTGTCTTGTAGATAAGCGAATTGACGAGTGTTTTTAAGTTTGATTCATAAGGAGTGGAAGATGTGAAATTTTCAGTGGTTGAACAAATGTAGGAGAGAGGGCTATTGAATGCAAAAGATGAATGGAGAATGAGAGCTAAGGTTAGTGAGATGGTAATAGTTGTGAAGAAATTTGAGGAAGACATGTTTTTCTTTTTTTGATGAAGGTGATAAAGAAATTTATATATTTTGTGATGATTTAGTTTGAGATTGTGGGTGGTGAGAGTTAGAGTATTTATTGAGAAAATATGATGGTTTTGTCTTTGAGGAAATATGAAGAAGGATGATAATTTCTATTGACCAATTATCATTGGTTGGTTAGGGAGCACTGTGTCAACATTGGAATGGGCCTTCCCCCACTTTCGTATAGATTTTGGTTTATAATAACATGGCAAGAGTGACAAATTCAATCCGTGAAAAATAGAAAAATAGAAACCGGCTTCTATAAATTTGATCAATTCTTAAGAAAAACAAAAGTTGATGAAAATACTTAAATTTCAAACATAAACAGAGTCACAATAGCAAATCCTAGCTAAATATGATTTGTGATTATTTTTTAAAGTTAAACAAAATTAAGTTAATATAAAAGTGTTTCACTGTCGGTAATAAGGAAGAGTCTCATAAAAAACATGTGCTACTTTTTCATTGAGTCTAATGATTGAGTTAAAGAACGGGAGTAGATCAGTTTTCCACACAGTTTTCAATAAGAGATTACAAAATCAAAGTTCATCTGATAGAAAAGTTAATTGTGCCCAAAATCAAGTTTAACTTTTAAAGTTTTTGGTCAACCATGGTTTCTTCAAGTCAAAAACAATGTTAATATGTGATTTGAATCATGATTGATCAAGAAAAATCAAGAAAAGTGAGATTACTTGTAAAGAGGGCAATCATGAAGAAATTTTTGGACATAATCTGTTTTGTGTTTTAGCCAACTTTGAGGCCATTTTTCTCCATGATCCACAATGATCCAAGACAAACCTCAAACATCAAAGTTGAAGTGTGAAATCTCATCTTTTCAAAATGTTCAAGAACACAATCTAATTCCATATGAGCAAGGAGATATCAAGTGCACAATATTCTTTGATGCAACTGTTTTGATAAGGTAGATTTGGCATTACTTGTGACACACGATTTTTTAGTCCAAGTGTGATGATCATGCCAAGCTAATTCAACAAAAATATGAATGAATCATCCAATACCTGCAAGATAGAGCCACTAAATCAAGAGGAATCCCTTTGAAATGATGAGACATTATCACTTTAAGCCTTGAATTCAAGAGGCGTTTATATGGAATAGTGCATTGTCAAAGAAACCACTCTCATCAGTCAAGGTGCACTCTTAAACAACAATAAACACCTCTGCAGAATGTGGGATTGATCAAAAGAAGAACTAGACTAGTGGAAGAGATAAGGTACCTTAAGTTCGAAATAATGATGCATTTCTAAAACCATTGAACATTGAGCTCTTCTTTCAAACCAACATTATTCCTCCAAAACAAACTTTCTCCCCTATAAATAGAGACTACATATGATGTTTCAAAACACACCAAAACAATCACAACACTTGTTTTCTCATTCTTCCTCTTTCATTTCAAAATTTCAAATTTCCAAAGAGTGAAAATCGAATTTTCAAAACCAGAGCTTAAACCACTCAAGCACATCACAAATCATTCCTTGAAGGTGTTCAAACCTTCATCTTCCCCTCCAAACACCAGAATCAGAAAGACAACTGTAAAAACCTCATATCTTTGACTTTTTGCATTTCACAAGCCATGTCTTGATTCTGTCTATTTCAAAACCATCCAACACTTCAAACAGACTCTAAATAACATCCCTAAGTTGTTCCAACAATAGTTTCTCAACTGTAACATTGTTTAGTGAAGGTTCCATTGTGGTCACTTTTGATCATTTTGCAAGAAGAGGCCATTTTCTATTCCAGAGATTTTCTTTTGATTTCAAGCTTCCTAGGGATATATTTGAAGTGTCCAAGACACTCATTCACTGTTGTAGCAAGTATCTTGGAGGTTTGGCTTTGTGCTTCAAGAGGTAAGTTCCTAAAAAAATTGAACTTTGCAAAATATGTTGTACTTTGATGTTCATTGAGTTTAGACATATTTGACATATCATATGTGTTGTGTTTGAACAATTTTTTAGTGTTATATCTGAATATACATGACTGTTACATAGAACTTCCCAGAATAGGTCACTTTTTGTGTAGCCTTCGAGTTTTAAAATGAGAGCATCATTTGACAAAACCACCACCACCATTGGGTTCCTTAGGAAACTTTAAGGAAGTTTCATCTTTGTTTCATCCATTTTCATGGAAAAATGAGAGAGTTATGTTACATTTTGCTTTAGGTTGGAAAGCTGGTTTTGTTGGAGAAAAATAGTGCATTGCGGGTCGGAGAAAAATAAATCCTCCATGACTTTCCTCTTCTTGCAAGGGAGTAACTCTTCATCCTTCAACTGTAATTGCTTCTGGAGTTCATCAATTTCTGCAACAGACACTAGATACTTGTTCTTCCATGATTCTAACTCTTGTTGCGACTTCTTTAAAGCAACCTCTAACTTCTCAGTTTCGGACATAAAGACATAAGTGGGCTCCCTTCTCGGAGGTATAGGATCTTGATGAGAGTAAGGCATCCTCGGCTTGATTGCCCTATTCCTTACCCACTGAAGATACGGCTCCAAAGACACACAGTTGGGTCTTCCCAAACTATTCCTATCTTTCTTATGCAGATGTTTCCAAGCTTCCACAACCTTCTCTCGGAGCTCTTGATTATCCTCGAAGAAAACACTCTCAACTTGTATGCTCTTAGGTGGTCCCTTCAACGGATATCCCAACTGTCGGCGAGATAAAACCGGATTATAACTGATCCCTCCACCAAAGCTGAGTAACGGTATATTAGAAAAATCTCTACATCCATCAATGATTAGAATCCCATCATACTCACGACTATACCAATCAATGTTAGAATGAGTCAAAGCCATAATTCTTTCTGACCAACGCTTATCATTAAGATGACAAAAGGAAACATACTTGGGCAAGTGGGTAAGGAACCATTTGTATAACAAAGGCACGCAACATGTAATCATTCCTCCACCGCGGAGGTTTCGGAGATGTATAGAGTGATAGGTGTTACCCAATAGAGTTGGCACTGGATTGTTCTTCATGAAGATCTTAATTGCGTTAAGTTTAACAAACCCCTCAAAACTTGGAAATAGAAACACCCCATAGACAAGTAAGGCGAAGATTGCCTCGAATGGATCCTTGTTTGTAAAATCAGTATAAAATGAAGCTTTCTTGAATAGAAAATCTGTAGTTAAACCAAAGGTCCCACTTTTAACAACCATGTTGGCCTTAACGTCAGATACCTTAAGATAAAGGGCCTTAGCGATGTCTCTTTCTTCGGGGTCCTTTTCCAAGAATGGAAAAGGAGATTCTTCTAGAATAGGCAGACCTAACAAAAAGGAGTATTCTTCCAAAGTTGGCAACAACTGATAATCTGGGAAAGTAAAGCAGTGATACATCGGGTCATAAAATTGTAATAGAACGGAAAGGAGGTCCTCATTTGCCTTGCGTCTTAACAAAGATAGTAATTTCCCATATTTACCCTTGAACTTCTCTTGGTCTTCAATCAAAGCTCCCAACTCCCTTAGGTCATCCAATTTGGGACTCTTAAAAGTATATTTTAAAGTATTTCGTCTATTGGAATCCATAATGTCCTACAATGTTCATAAATAAAGGGTAAATCCCATGAAGTCCAATGTAGTATGATGCTATATGAATGCAACAAACACAAGTAAGCACATAGATAAACAAGGATAAACAAACAAGGGGGACCCTAGGTTTGCAACGAGCATGGAGTCAAGGGTATACCCATTCCCAAAGGATGTGGACTAAAGGTTGATTGTACCTGTAGAACAAGGTTCTAAAGAGGTCCCAAAGTCATTAGTCCATCTATAGAATATTATCAATTTCCCAACTAACTCGAGGATTAATAATATTCTCAAGAGAACTTCTTTTGAGTGTAGCATCGCGTAGCACTATTTTGGGTGTACTCCCTCATAGTCTCGCACTACATCCTAATAAAGGTCAAAGTGGGGTTAAAGGTAACCAAGGTCCTTAGTATCATGGACTCCCATTGAGAATAGTAAAAGTTTTCACGACTAAACTTGTTCAACCGAACTATTTTCAAAAGGGTCTCAACTAAGCGTGATTTTCAAGTCAACTTAGTCGGGACCCACTCCCTATAAGCCTCATTGAATATATCACCATCCTATCTTAATTTCTCTCAAGTCCGGGTGTAGGACTTTGTCTCACCACTCAAAGGTAACAACCCAAAAAGAAAAAGATAAATAAACATACAAATAAACAGATAGAGAGCAATAAACAAGTAAATAAAACAAGTTAGGGCAACCCACTGAGGGGTCCCCAGTGAAGTCGCCATTTCTGTCGCGGTGAAATTTGGATACCAAACTATTGATTAGTTTGAATCTTTAATTCAATTTGCAATCGAACTTTGATTTGTCAAAAGGAAGGGATAAAGATTGAAATACCTACAATGCAATGCAAATGCAAGGTTAGAGAGTTATAGGTTCGGGGGTTGGTTAAACTTAGGGAAGGTACTAGCATCCTAAGTTTCTGTAGTACTCTACAGGAACCTCTTGTTTTATATTGTTTATTGCTAAGTGTTTATCTGCTTAAGGTATAAAAGACCTAGGGGTTTATTTCTAAGTATACTCGATAAGATATCGCATCTTATGCCTACATATCCTTACGGGAGTGGAATCAGAGTATCTGTAGTTCCTCTAAAGGGTTAGAGGAGTCCTTTGACTGTGGTCAAAGTTCCTACGGGTTTAGGGTAGTTGATTGATTGAGTTTAGGAGAAGAAATGTTTTATCATTTCAAGGGAGATGTAACCGCCACAGGTTGTAGGAAAATAGTCTTTGCATCGTCTTAAGAAAAGGGCTGAAGTACTCAGATTGTTTGACGAGTACGCCTTTATCTCTCTTAAGGCAAAGTCCCCATATGTTGATTGTATTATTGTGGGGATGGAGATTCTATCTCGCTTAAGATGATTAACATCTTTCTCTAATGTGTTTGAATATTTTGTATTGTGTTGATTGTTTTTTTCTAAGTTGTA